TTTTTTTAAAAAAGAGAAGACAGGCAGATCTCGGGCTCACTGGCCAGCCAGCCTAGCCTAGGTGGTGAGCTGCAGGCCTGTGAGAAACCCTGTCTCAAAAGCAAATTCTAAAAGATGAACTGTGCCCAATGAATGATACCTGGACTGTCCTGGACTCCACATTTACAAGTACACAAGTGCACCAATATATTGGAAAAAGTAAATTTCTGTTGAAACTCTTAGGGAAGGATTCCACTAAATTAGTACATTAGAAAAATTAAATAGTAACTTACTATTTGACTTCATTAATGTCCAGTTAGCTTTTATTTTGCTCAATAACAAAACTAATAAAAATTTTCTTTATTCTGAAAAATCTTAGAGGCTTTATAAAATAAAATTCTATATATTTAAAACTAGACAAATTTTAAATCCAGTGTTGTCTAGATTGTTTTAAACTCTAGTAAGTATAAAAGAGATGGGGTGAGATGTATGTTAGAATTTTGGTTTGTTTTCTTTTGAAACTGCAGTTCTGAGGCTCGAACCTAGGGCCTTGTATATGCTCAACAAGCAGTCCACCAGTCTACCATTGAGTTACACAACTAGCCTAGGACATTGACTTTTGAATTGGTTATAACCAGAAGAAAAAAAATTTTCTGTTATCTCTAAGTTGTACATGGTAGTACTATATTTTAAAATTCCCAAACTGGTAGCCTCACAAATAGATACTGATATGAGAATAATTAATGAAATAAACCAGGTATTTGGTCTATTCATAAAATTCTAAATGGAAATTAGGGAAGTAAAATGATGAACAATGCTTGTGCAAAACACAAGGTCAAATGGAAACCCTTTTATTTATTCTTCGTGTGCTATGCTGTGTTTGTGTTCAGGGATGGCACATGCATGCCACAGCATACCTGTGAGGGGCCAAAGGGCAACCTTGGGTGTCAGTTCTCACCTTCTGCCTTGAGACAGATTCTCTCTTGCTATTCACTGTGGCATGCATCAGGCTAGCTCGCCCTGGAGCTTCCTTCCCAGGACTCTCTCGTTTCCTTCCCTCTCTCATTTTACCAGAGGGACTGTGGGATTGTAGATGCATGTTTCTCAATCAGCTTTATGTGGGCTCTGGAGATCCAAGCCCAGGTCCTAAGCACTTTATCCACAGAGGAATCTCACCAGCCTGAAAACAACATTTTATACAAGCATAGGTACACTGTGGTTCACTCTCCCTCTCCCTCCTTTTCCCCCTCTCCCCTCCCCCGCTCTCAGTTTCTCTATCCTTATCCTTATCCCAACCCACGGGGTCTTGTTACAGACCCCAGACTATCTTCAATCTCCTGATCCTCCTGTTTCAGGCTCCCAAGTGCTGGGATTACAGGCATGCACCATCATGCTGGGCTCCAGGACTTTTTTAAATGCCATACTTTCTAAATTTTGAGGAAAAGAAGTCATCTTAAGTCAGTCATTCTTGAATGTGATAGCAGGAAATTACTACCAGGGAAGTGTTTGTTTGTTTGTTTAACGCATACACATTCCACAGCATGCATGTAAAGATCAGAGAACTTTCTCTCCTTCCAACCTTCTTCCAAAGGGGTTACAAGTATTGAGCTTAGATTGTTGAGCGTGGCACCTGGGCCTTCACCCACTGAGCTATGTTGCTGATCCCAGCAGGAAAGTTTGGATGCAGACCTTGTGAATAACTCAAAACCAAATATGACATTGGAAAAGCTTGGAGTCTTCTCCAAGTCCAGCTCTGACTTCACTACACCCGAAAGTTATTTTTCATACTGAATGGTTTCACTTGACTTTGCCAGTGTTGTGTTTCACTTTTGTCTGCAGGCCAATGCGCATACCTGTTCTGGAATTTAACACCGTCATCCTGAATGTTTGCACAAACACACTCTGCGATGCATAAGGTGACCTTCCGTCTCTTACGGTCTAATTGGAGGCCTGAGGGGGGTTGCCATATGCCACTGCAAAGTTGTTTCTTCCTTGATTTCTGTGAGCTCCAGAGCAGCCTGATCTGATGGCTAAGGGTAAAATGCTATGGGGAAATTTCTAAACAGAAAAGGGTAATTTAGTTTGATTTAATCATGTTTCCATGGGAATCCAAAACACAGCCAGATACTGAACTATGTATCAAACTCAAAAAAAGGCTCACGTGAACAGCTTTTCTCTCATTGTAAAATGCGGCACTGTTCTGCTTCTTAACCCTGGGGTCAGGATGTGTGCGCAGTAACCATGACCTTCACAGGTATGGTGAGAACATGGTCTCTACTTTCATTTCATTCATGTGAAGAAGAAGAGAGAGACTGTGACCACTTCCTGAAGAATAGGTGTGAAGACACTTCTGGGGTTTCCTTACCTTTCTCTGTGGTAGATGATCTTCACATGTAACAAACTTCCCCTTAACAAAGTATTTTCCAACAATTTAATTAGTTAAGACATGATCACGAAAGAGGAAATTACTAAATGCCGAGTTCCTTGAGGTCAGAGAGTTAACTTACTCTTGTGTTATTTCTTGAAAGGATTAATAATAATGTTAAGTTGGAGTGTGTCTTTGACAAAGGTTTATCTCCTCACGGACCATGTTTCTGGGACTGGAGAGGTGGCTCAGCAGTTGGGAGGGCTTGCTGCTCTTGCAGAGGCCCCAGGCTCAGTTGCCAGCACCTATATCTGTGGTCCACAACTGCCTGTACCTCCAGCTCTAGGGGTGTGACCCAATATCCTGGCTTCCTTGAGCACCTGCACATGTGACATACACTCACACATGTGTGCAAAGAATTTTGAAGGCATGTTACTTTCTAGGCCGCCACCCTCTGGTAGGAATTACTGAAACTTTGGACAGGTTCTCTGTCTATGCTGTACAATATCATAGCTGGCAGCTGCATGTGACAGTTGAACATTGAGATGTGGCTAGTGTGAGAAACTCCATTTTAAAATTACATTCCACATGAATTAATTTGAATTTAAATAGTCACGTGTGACTAGTGGTTAACTATATTGGATGGTACAGACCTCATGAACGGAAGAGTTCTCCCAAATACTAAGCCTGACTGGAAAAATGCTGGATGGTGGTATGAATGAGAATGGCCCTCATAGGCTCATTTATTTGAATGTTTGGTCCCAGTTGGTGGAACTATTTTGGGAAGGATTAGGAGGCACAGCAGAGGTGTGTCACTGGGAGTGGGCTGTGACGTTTCAGAAGCCCATGTCATCCCCAGTTAGTTCTCACTGCCTGGTGGTTATTGTCTCAAGATGTGCGCTCTCAGCTACTGCTCTGGTACCAGGTCTGCCTGCTGCTGCCATGCTCCCCACCATGATGGTCATAGACTCACCCTCTGAAACTGTAAACAAGCCTCGATTAAATGCTTTCTTACATAAGCTGCTTTGGTCATGGTATCTCTTCACAGCAATAGAAAAGTAACTAAGGAGCTGGAGAGATGGCTCAGTGGTTAAGAGCACTGGCTGCTCTTCCAGAGGTCCTGAGTTCAATTCCCACCAACCACATGGTGGCTCACAACCATTTGTAATGAGATCAAGAGCCCTCTTCTGGCATGTAGGCATATATGCAGACAGAACACTGCATGTGTAATAAATAAATAAATTTAAAAAAATTTAAAAGAAAAGTAACTAAAACATGCTGTGTGTCTCTTTCTGAAGCAGGGTTTTAGGATGTAGCTTGGCATGTGGACAACTCAAACATCTCACCTACAATTTATCATTAATTATGTGGTGTACATGCTGATGGATATGAGGGATTCAGAAAATGAACAGGTCTCTCTGGCAAGCAACCTACATTCTAGTTGGTGGGGAAAAGTTGTTAAGTGCAGTAGAGATAGTGCTGTGCGTTGTGCAGATGGCCATAAAGAAAAAGATCAGAGCTGGGTGGTGGTGGTGGTGGTGGTGGTGGTGGTGGTAGTGGCGGCGCATACCTTTAATCCCAGCACTAGGGAGGCAGAGCCAGGTGGATCTCTGTGAGTTCGAGGACAGCCTAATCTACAGAGAGAGATCCAGGACAGGCACCAAAACTACACAGAGAAACCCTGTCTCGAAAAAAAAAAAGAAAAAAAAGAAAAGAAGGAAGGAAGGAAGGAAGGAAGGAAGGAAGGAAGGAAGGAAGGAAGGAAGGAAAATCAGGAGTTCCTGAAGGATCCAAGGGTGTCAGGGGCCATGAAAAATGAGTAGGCATTTCTGCATGAACAAATAATGGATTAAATAATGCACCTCTCCTAATTTACATGTTGGACCTAATTCCCATTATGTCACAATTGGACCTTATTTGGAAATAAAGTCATTGAACATGTAATTGGTTTAGCTCATAAAAGGGGGAAAATTTAGGAACATGCATGCATACATATATGTGCACACGTATAAACACAGAGAAAGAGAGACAGAGAGACGCAGAAAGTTGTATGAAGACAGGAGGCCCTCTCAAAGGTTACCACAGGTCAAGGAACTGCCAGCAGTGAGGTTTGAGACCTGGAACGGTTCCTTCTTTGGTACTATTATAGGCAGCATGATCTGGCCGGCACGTTGCTCTCAGACTCTCCACCCTAGAACTGTGAGACAACGAGCTTCTGTCCTTTCAACGGGTTGGTTCATGGCACTCCATTACAGCAGCCTGAGCAATCTGATACGGCCTCCCAGACCAATGAGGCCAATGAGGCAGTGCCGGGAAAGCAAGGCAAGAACCCAAGGCTATTCACTGAAGTTCCATTTTACAGTTGTCTACCTTGGGAAACTGAAAGAAAATGAAGTGAGCCTCAGCCTGAGTATGAAAATTTATTTTACAAATAGTTTTTAGCCTCAAAATCAGGGTCAGACTGAAACACTTATGTTTAAAGGTCTTCATGGGTTATACCCTAGCATGCAGTAGCATGCACAGACATAATTAATGATAAATATTTGTAGGCTAAGAGATGAGTTGGGTACAGGCCAATTTAAACATAGAGAAAAATGTTCTGTTTTTGTTTAGTGCAAATGATCATAAATCAAGAATAAACACTGGCCATCCTAAATCAATCAGACAAAATTTTTTATTTTCTAAACTTGTCTCCCTAGAATAAAACATTGAACATAGTAATAACCTCCCCAGTTTCATGCATAGTCGTCATAGGAGACAATATGAGAGGTGCATTATTTCTCATGTGCCAGCTTTTGGGGAGAGAGTTCCTGAGCAGAAGCCGGGAACCTCGTGGTAGGAGAGCAGCCCAAGGTGAACATCATCCTCCAGTTATCGCTGTGGTAGACGAGATTGGGGCCTGAGGAACCAAGCCAGCGTCTAAGAAGCACCATGACTCAGTCCTGAAAGCCATATTCTTACCACCAGTGAAGATTCATCAGCCCCAGGCAGCCGCCACTTCAGAAGAGGAATATCGGACTTCTTTGTGTCCGGTTAGCAGTCCCGGGTACTGACTGACTCACAGGAATGAGTTGGGAACAATGAGCTGTGGATGGCCTCAGTTCTCACACTGTGTTAGTCGGGGTTCTCTAGGGGAACAAAACCGATAGCGTGGATGGACACACTAACGGGGCATTTATTAGATTGGCTCCCAGGGTACAGTCTTGGTGGTCGAACAGTGACTGTCTTCACATTGAGTACCTGGGAGCTGCTCATCACCAGGGATGCCTCAGCAGGCCCAGTCTGGCACTGAAGGTCTAGAGGATGTCTGGGGAGTCCCTGGTCCTCAGTGCACTTCGAAGGTGGAAGGCACTGTCTTCTAATATCATTAAAGGATGGTACTGGCAGTGGGGGCGGCAGCAGATTGTGGGGGCAACAGAGTAGGTGGGCTGGACAGCAAGATGAAGAAGGGAAAAACAAGCCTGTTCTGCTGATCCTCCTGAGATCTGGGCTGCTGGAATGTGCCGCCCACAGTCGGCGGGAGTCTCTCCTTCAGCAAGTGTAACCCAAAAGTCCCTCCTAGGGATTTAGTCTAGACTGCCCCTCCCAGGTGTGAGCAAAGGCCTGTCTAATGGACCTTGTCCAACAGATCCTGTCAAGTTGACAATATTTCCCACCACACCTACGTAGTACACACACTGCTGGACACATGGCGCACTGGAGCAGCTAGCAGCCTGCCGAGGCTGGAGTGTAGCGTGCTCTGAAGATGAGGGTGAAGGAATATAGATACAGCTAGGGAACTGGCAAGGGCAAAGGGCAGCAGACTTCACCTGGGGACCAGGAAATGATAAGAGATCTCTTTCAGTGTGTTTTGAGTGTTAACAATGTGGGATATCTAGAGGAGGTGACCAGGGGGTGACTAGGTGTTCAAATCTGGCTTGGGGTACAGGTCTGGGTTGAGAGCACAGATTGTGAGGTGTTGGTATAAATGACAAAGTAAACACAATCAGGAGCAGGTAAAAAGGAAAACCAAAAGTGAAAACTTCTAGAAAAAAACCATCACAGCTCCCAATCCTGCAGAATGAGAATGTCTAATGTTTTCTGAAAAGAGCCGTTAGAGTGGAGTGTGGGACATCCCTTTGTGACACAGTGACAGCTGAAGTCCCTCAGTAAGGGAGGAGGGAAATTGGGGTCCAATATTAGAAATACTGGGGACTATGAGAAAATTGAAAACTGCCTATTACAAACACTAGGAAAGTTTATGCAAAACATCAAAAATGATGATCCTCCCATCCCTCTGTCCCCTCCATCCCTCTGTCCCTCCATCCCTCCCACACACAAACACAGGAAATAGCAATCAACAACTTCCAGGAACCTAGAGCTGGAGAGAAAATGTGCCTCAGTCTGCATTTGACTAAGTACTTGTCTCAAAGGCTGAGGCTTTGGAGACTAAGATGTGACTCCAATACCCAGATTTATGAAATCAACAATTCTGAGGGAGGAAAAAAGAAATTCATAGATAAACTCATCACAGCGAAACCGGAAAAACTGAAGCTGAGGATAAAATTCCTAAAACTTGCTTTTTTAAAAGTTACCTTCACAGGGGTTGGGGATTTAGCTCAGTGGCGCAAGGCCCTGGGTTCGCCCTTAATCCCAACGCTTGGGAGGCAGAGGCAGGCAGATCTCTGTGAGTTCGAGGCCAGCCTGGTCTGTCTACAGAGTGAGTTTCAGGACAGCCAGAACTGTTACAAAGAGAAACCCTGTCTCGAAAAAACAAAAAAACAAAAACAAAAAAAGATACCTTCAAAGGAGTCGTGGTTTGATATACGGCTGACTTTTTTTTTTTAATAAAAACAATGAACACCTGACAGTTCAGTCATAGCAAGAATGACACAAAACAAACAAAAATAAAACCTACAGTGCCATAAGAAATGAACAGTCACTATACACTACAAGATAGGTGAGCATCAGATGCATTATACTAGATTGTAAGCACTCTCAACATGCTCTGGATTACATGGGTTCATTTCCATGACATCTAGAGAAGACGGACCTGAGAGGTGGGAACCTGAGGAGAGGATGTCAAGGACTGGAGAGGCGAGTAGGGTTTGGCTACAATGGGTGTGTGACAGAGTCTTTTGGGTGACGGGGATACTTTGCACGTTTGTTGGAATGGTAGCTTCATGAAATTCCTCATCTGTCGAAACTCTTCAATGTCTCTTCTAAAAAGACAAAGGCATTATAAGAAAACTATTGATCAGTATCATTATTAACACAGATGTGAAAAGCTCCAACAAAACCACAAGCAAATTGAACCCAGAAGCATAGTAAAAGGATAATAATCATGAACCACCCTTGCGTTCTGGAGTACTATCATGCTTGATCTAGGAAAAAATCATCTGACAAAACCCAACACAATTTTATGGATTCGGAGCTTCATCTTTCCCGTATTATTTCATAGGTGTAGAGTCACCCATCTGGCATTGCCTATGTAACAAGTTCTGGCCAGCTGCTCCAATCAGGCACTTAGCTCCAGAAGTGAGATTCCCTTGGGATTCAGTGTCCTGATGCATCTGGCCAGTAAGAAACATTTCCCCACCTCGACGGGATTCTGACTCGGAGGCACTCAGTTACAATTTCACAGATGGCAGCTTCACTCCATTGGTTCCTCAGCCATGCACATACACCAAATATTTGGACCTGCAGCACGGAGCACGATTGCCATGGCAACAACACACTATCAGATTACCTCATTATGACTTAAATGAACTAAGATCTGTACATGACTAATTGATCTTACCCATATGTGCCAACAGCAGCCATGTATTTATTTCAGGAACAAAGCGGTTTCTCTTTCTGGCATTTAGTCTGACTGTTGGTTCACTGCCTTTTCAACATTGGTGGCCTTCCAGGAAGATACCTTCTGCACGTGAAGAACTCTAAGAAGACTTTCTAGTATGGGAAGAGACCATTGGAGAAATAGGACCATTTATACAATAGGTTAAAATCACACCCAATACCAGTCCTTCCTTAATGTAAGTTGTTGACAAGCACAAGATATATGGCAGCATTTTTAAAGAAAGAGAGTAAAATAACCAACAATAAGGGGAAAATGAATGACATTAAACACTCTAAGTTATATCTTCAAAGGTTTTTGAAGCTCACATGTCCATAAAGAACAGAGCAGTAGAGTACTGCTTGCTTCTTGCTCTGAATTCAGCCTTGATCTGGGCAAAGACCTCGGGCTTTGTTTTCTGTAGTGAGCTGTTGCTTTTAGGTATCTGTACTTCTGTTTTATATTCAGTATATGTGTATCAGATATCAGGAACTACTTGCCATGATTTGGATAAGGGTGACGGGTGTCCCCAAAAAGTTAAAGTTCTAGAAGATCCCCACTGTGGTAATGTTGAGGTGGTAGACGTCCTAATTAAGACTAATTAAGTCATAGGCATGCACTTCTCCAAAGGAACTAATGCTAGTTCTGAGAAATGGATTAAGTCACATGAGATTGGGCTGGTATAAGGTAAATTCGTGGCCTCAGCTTGATTTCTGTCTTATCATTTGACACAAGTTCCAGCTCTGATGCCACCAGCATGAGGCCTTCAGCAGAGCTGAGCTGGTACCATGTTCTTGATCTTCCAAAATCATGAGCTAAATAAACCTCCTTTCTCTATAAAGTCAACTGTGTTCAGTGCGTAAGTTATAGCAACACAAAACAAAGACATTACTAAAGTTTTCAAAAGAGTTCACCTTGAAGACACTGGTGCTTATAAAATCAGTGTAAGGGGGCTGGAGAAACGGCTCAGTGGTTAATATCACTGGCTGCTCCCCCATAGGCCCCAGGCTCAAGCCCCAGAACTTACCTGTCAGCTCCCAACTATCTGTAATTCCTGTCCCAGGGGATCTGATACTCTCTTCTGGCTTCCAAAGGTACCAGGCATGCATCTGGTGCATAGACATACATGCAAACAAAACACCCCTACGTGGAAAATAAAATTTAAAAGAATTCAAAAACTGGTGTAAGATTAGATGTATCAGGTACCAAGATACATCTATTGGAATGGTTTTCAGAACATTATTTTTAGAAAATTAGCCTGCTTAAGGAAATTTTCTTTCTGTCACAATTGGTAGTGAGCTGTTGGATCTGGAGGTTGCTCCTGTAGGTTATGGTTCAGGAATTACACTGTCTTAGCTGTGAGTCAGTATTAGAGCTGCCATGGGCACTGTTATAAACAGGTTATTTACATATGCGTATGCTTCGATACACACATATATGCTTGTATTACATATATGTACGCTGTAATTATAACCAGGGGTTGGAATCTGCTGCCACAGTATTTGTGGAGTATCTGCATCTGCTACATCTCCACTTATAACAGCGGGTGCTCTGTGCCCTATTGCCTAGCAACCGGGAAACTCAGTACTTAAGAGCGTTCACGCAGCTGCATACACAAAAAGTCCTGTGACTCCACAGTCATGCTGTTAACAGCAGCATCGGAAAGATACGGACACACGGGGCATCTTCACCTCCACCTTCCACATCTGACCCCTTTCCCTCCCACATCCTCTTTTCTCTTTTCTCCCCATACCCGCCCCCCACTATTAGGGATTGAAGCAAAGGCCTGGTACAAACTAGCTGGGGATTCTACCACTGATCTATACCCCTAGTTATAATGATATTTTTAATTAGTCATATGAATCAGGAATACTGCTTCTAGGGACTTAGTCAAGAAAAATAAAAACATGTCCACATATGACATCTTGTCATCAATGTTCTTAAATATTGAGACTGGATATTATACAATACAACCAAAGTTTCAGTATTTTAAAAAAATACTAATTTATTATTAGTGTGTGTGTGTGTGTGTGTGTGTGTGTGTGTGTGTGTGTGTGTGATGTGCGGGGGAGGGGCACACGTGTGCCATGGTGCATGTGTGTAAGTAAGAGAGCAACTTTATAGATTCAGTTTTCCCTTTCCACCTTTGTGTGGTTCCAGAGGCCAAATTCAGGTCATCAGGATTGAACAGCGCGTGTTTTTACCCATGGAGCCATCTCCTTGCCCCTCCATATATACATATATATGCTGTGTGTAAGAGTACAACTTCATTTACATGAATGTTTAAAATGATAATCTAGTAAAAATGATGGTCACTGGAGGCTGTAGAGCTTGCTCAGTGGGGGGTTAGGGATTTAGCTCAGTGGTAGAGTGCTTGCCTAGCAAGCACAAGGCCCTAGGTTCTGTCCTCAGCTCTGAAAAAAAAAAAAAGATGAAAGAAAGAACATGCCTCCAACAGGCAGTTCAAGGGAGGTAGGGCAGAGGGACGCAGAGGGACAAACGTCCTTAAGGACTGACCTGAAATAAAGCCCGGTTTCTCTTCTGGAGAAGCATAACTCTGCCAGGTGGACAAGATGACCCTGGGTAACAACTATGATTCCTTATGAAATAATTCTAGCTGAGTGGTGGTGGTGGTGGTGGTGGTGGTGGTGGTGGTGGTGGTGGTGCACGCCTTTAATCCCAGCACTTGGGAGGCAGAAAGGAGGGGAGGGGGAGGGGAGGGGAGGGGAGGGGGAGGGTGGAGGAAGGGGAAGGGAAGGGAAGGGAAGGGAAGGGAAGGGAAGGGAAGGGAAGGGAAGGGAAGGGAAGGGAAGGGAAGGGAAGGGAAGGGAAGGGAAGGGAAGGGAAGGGAAGGGAAGGGAAGGGAAGGGAAGGGAAGGGAAGGGAAGGGAAGGGAAGGGAAGGGAAGGGAAGGGAAGGGAAGGGAAGGGAAGGGAAGGGAAGGGAAGGGAAGGGAAGGGAAGGGAAGGGAAGGGAAGGGGGAGGAAAGAAAAGAAAAAGAGCTTGCTCAATGGTTAAGAGCACTTACTTCTCTTGCGGAGAAATGGAATTTGGTTTCTGGCATCCATGGCAGGCTGCTCACCAACCACCTGTAACTTCAACTCTAGGGGATCCAATATTCCCTTCTGGTCTCCACGTGCATCTGCATGTAAGTGCACATACGTGCACACAGACATCCACAAAAACAAATAATAAAACAAATCATTAAAAAGTAACTCCTTTGAGGAGTTATTGAATGTAAGGGATATAAGGTAGCCTTGGACATGAAATATATGGATTTGTTGTTCTGGGAGGATGTTACAGGAATAACATAAAAGAAATAAGATAAGATAAAAGAATAAAGGAAATTCAAGTCAGAAAAACCACAAAGCAGAAAAAAAATACATTTCAAAAATCAAATGAGATTGCTGACATTCTTTGTGAAATTGTGGAATAAAGAGAGAAGATGTGGGGCTGGAGAGATGGCTCAGCCATTAAAGTCTAGGCTCATGACCAAAAACAAGAAAGAAGGTCTGGTGAGAAATGCAGAACGGGACACGATTATAGATCTTGCAAAGAGAGAAATCACACAGGGCTGTCCTTGGTGCAGACCTGTAATCCTGGCAGGGCTACAACCAGGGAGATTTCAGTTTGACGCCAACTTGGATTACATAGAGCGATCCTATCTCAAAAGCAAAAGAAAGTAAAATGAGCCAGGCAGTGGTGGCACATGCCTTTAGGCCGGCAGATCTCTGTGAGTTCAAGGCCAGCCTGGTCTACAGAGCGAGTTCCAGGACAGCCAGGGCCACACAGAGAAACCCTGTCTTGAAAAACAAAACAATAAGAATAAAGTGGCATAAAATGGTATTGAAAAACTTCAGGTTAACAAAAAGCTTGTTCAAATACTCATGTCTGAGTCTTCTATTTTATTTAACTGATCCTCATGCCTGCTTTTACGCCAGCAAGATATTGTTTTTATTACTATAGCTCTGTAGTAGATCTTGACGTCTGGAATAGCAACACTGCCAGTATCATTCTTTTTGCTCAGGATTGCTCTGGCAATCTGTGCTCTTTTCTGGTCTCATATGAATTTTAGAATATTTTTATTTCTGTGAAAAATATTGTATGTGTTTTAATTGGGATTGCATTGGATCCATAAATTGCTTTAGGTAAAATGGTCATTTTCATGGTATTAATTCCACCAACCCATGAACACAGATGTCTTTTCATTTTTTTATCTTAATTTCTTCAGAAATTTGAAGTTTTCATTGTAGATGTCTTTCACCTCCTTGGTTAGTTTATTCTAAGAAATTTTATTGTCTTAGATGCTATTGTAAATGAGAGTGTGCCCATGATCTCTTTCTCACTGTATTTGTTGTTGGTGTAAAGAAAGGCTACTGATTTTTGGAAACTGATTTTGTACCCTGCCCCTTTGCTAGGATTGGTGATTTTTTTTCCCAAGAAGTTTGCTAGTGAGCTTTTTGGGATTTCTTATGTGTAGCAGCCTATTATCTACAAATAGGCGTGCTTTGACTGCTTTTCCTATTTGTGTTTTAATTTCTTTCTCTGACTTACTGTCCCAGCTAGGGCTTCCAGCACTATGCTGACAAGGAGTGTGGATGGTGGGCAGCCCTGTTTTATTCCCGGGATTAGGGGGATTGCTTTGAGTTCTTTTCCATTTAGGAAAACGTTGGCGATGAGCTTGTCATATATAGCCTTTATCATATTGAGGTATGTTCCCTCCAGCTCTACTTTCTGCATTATCTTTTATCATTTGATATTTGACAAAAGGAAAGAAATACATGGGAGAAAAGACAGCATCTCCCACAAATGGTACTGTGCAAACTGCATGTCCATATGCAGAAGGGTGAAAGCAGCCCTGCATCCATCCCCTTGTACAAACGTTAGCTCCGAGTGGACCAAAGACCTCTATGTGAAACATGAAATGCTAAAACTGCTAGAAGAAAACATAGGCAGGAACTCTACACGATACAGGTGTGAGAACGGACTTTCTGAACAGGACTCCATTTGCCCAAGAATTAAGACCAACAATTGACAAATGGGACCTCACAAAACTCAAAGGCTTTGTACATCTAAGGAAACAGTCCATCTAATGGATAAGAAACCCACAGAAAGGGGGAAGTCTTTGCCAGCTATACATCTGGCAGATGATTAATACCCAGAATATACAAAGAATGTCAACAAAAAAAAATCAAGAAAACAAAAGATCCACTGTAAAAAAAAAAATAGACTGGGTATCTAAACTGAGAGTTCTCAAAAGAAGAAATAAAAAATGGCTAAGAAATACCTCAAAAAGTGTTCATCCTTAGTAAGTAATTAGGGAAATGCAAATTAAAACAACTTTTAGATTTCATCTTACCCTACTCAGAACAGCTAAGATTAACAAAACAATGACAATAAATGCTGGTAAGGTTCTAGGAAAAGGGGACCCCTCATTCACTGTTAGTGGGAATGTAAATGTGGTGGAGCCACTCTGGAAATCAGTATGGAGAATTCTCAAAACCCTAAATAGCACTATATTACTCCTTGGCATACGCCCAAAGGATTCCACATTCTGCTCCACAAATACCTGCCCAGCAATGTTAATTGTGGCCCTATTTACAATATCCAGGAAATGGAAACTATCTAAATGTCCTTCAACAGATGAATGAATAATGAAAATATGGTACATATACATTATGGAATACTATTCAGCTGTCAAGAAAAATGAAATCATGAAATTTGCAAGTAATTGATTGAAACTAGAAAAGACTATGTTGAGTGATGTAACACAGACCCAGAAGGAGAAATGTCACGTGTTCTTTCTCATCTGTTATTCCTAGTTCTTCATCTTCAGATGTGAGTATAGAACCAGGAGTAACCACAGAAACCAGGAAAATATAAAGGGAACATGAGGTTAGGGCCATACAAAGGGAATAGTAGGGTACAGGAGAACTGAAGCAGGACATGGAAAAATGGAGAGGGGACTCTAACTAGGAAGTGGGGTGCAGTCAATACAGAAGGAGAAGGATGAAGGATGGACAAATAATGTCAAAGTTGTTTGATAAAGTCTCAAGAAATCATTTTTTAAAATTTATTTATTTATTATGTATTCAGTGTTCTATTTGCATGTATCCCTGCAGGTCAGAAGAGGGAGCCAGATCTCATTACAGATGGTTGTGAGTCACCATGTGGGTGCTGGGAATTGAACTCAGGACCTCTGGAAGAACAGCCAGTGTTCTTAACCTCTGAACCATCTCTCCAGCCCCTCAAGAAATCATTTTATAAAATTATTCACAATACATGTGTATGTATACACACACAATCTCTCTCTCTCTCTCTTAAATATCATATAAAATATGATATTTTATATATCATAAAATATAAATTTATGATACTTGGTCTGACAATGTTCCATACAAGAACCGTAGACTAAAAATCCCAGTACCAAGCAAGAGAACCCTCCTTTTGAATGGCTGGTCAGGGTAGGCCAAGTCACTCCCAAAACAATATAGACTATTGTTGTTACCCTTAGTTGCTTCTCAGAGGTTGAAGGTAAGCCCCTATTGCTGCAAATACCACACACTTAGGAAACAGGACTTGAATGGTTCAACCCTGACCTAATCAGAAAGCCTCCTTTTCTCAGTCTAACTTCCATGGCACCAGAAAAGACTATGCAAGATGCAAAGGGAGGGAAGCAATTAATAGTTCTACCCAGCTGTGACACCTATGAACTACAACAATGACAAGCAAAGCAAGATATCCATAAAGGTACAATAGAGGGACTCATGTGTTTGTGGTAACCAGCTGCTGTCTAAATGGACTCAAGGCCCACTCAACAGGAGGAAACTCAAGCCTGGTACTAGAAATACAGTCAACTTCCTGGGGCTAGTGAGGTCATGGATCTTAGAAAGAATCTACTATTGCCACATTGCTAGACCAGCATAACTCCTAAGTATGTTCTAAACCTTATCCTTAGACCCACAGATAATTGTAACTACCATCCCACTTCAGAGAAGCTTCTCATTAAAGGAAATGAGACCATCAGGGAAAATCATAACTGGCCATAATGCAGAGGTCATGGGAACCAAGCCCCAATGGATGCATCTACATCATATTTCTTGCATCTATGGCTCAGTGAACATTGCAAAAGGGGGAACAGAAAGGTTGTAAGAGCTAAAATACCAGGAAGACTGCTGTTAAAAGTCTCTCCTAGAAATGGCTGCATAGATAAGCACTGGAGGGCTCCTGTTGCAAATCACCCTCTGGAGTGATGGAAGGATCTTTCTACTGGCACTTAGAGGAGACCCAATCTGGTATGGGCCCGGGGGTTCTGTTTATGTCTTTCCTCAGGACAATGAGGTTCCTCTTTGGATTCCTGAGTGCTGTGTGTGCCCTGTGGCTGCTGCTGAAGCCCAACATGGCAGAGACCTATTGGGCCTTCATGAAAAACTCTCCCCTTCTGATGCTAATGGGGATTGAGAGCCCAATATGGCCAGCTTTGGCAAGCATTAATGTAAGCCTAGGAACTGCAGCCATGCGGTTGGATTCTCCAGGAGGTAATGTATGGTAACTGCTTTTTCAAGTATGTTTGAGAACGTGTCACCCAGACACCTTGGAGATTAAGGATAACCCTGAAGGTCACTGACCTCCATTTGTTAACAATAGCATGCCAGCTAAGCCCTTTCATTTTCACAATCCTCTTCAAGCTGGTGTAGTACCTACTTTTCAGGAGTGGCTCTGTGCAACATTTATTGGCCTCCTGAAATTCATTTAGCCCCCCTTTGAAGATACCTTAAAATTTATGACCCTGAATGTAGCCATTATAAGACCATTAGTTATGCTTCTTATGAGCTGCCTGTTTTTTCTTTATTGTTCTTAGTTGTTCTTTTGCAGAGCTGACAGCTTAAGTCGTGCTGAGATCAAGAAAAATGGGCCTTGGCAGTTTGTGTTCCTGGAGTTGTATCCACGCCAGTGGATGCCCACACGCTCCAGAAGAGAATTTGACATTGCTGCTGCAGTTGTTGCTGTTATAGCAGTGGCGGCCACCACTGCTACTGTTTCTGGGATTACCATTTCATAATTGCTTACTACAACTAGCACAGTGGAGACCCTGGCAGCAAAAGTAGCTACCACAGTTAGTTAATCTTTCATTCTATTGGG